GCATTTTCCCCAAGAGCATCCCCAATGTCCTCCAGGCTCTCCTAGAGCCAAGCACACTAGCTCCTTTACAATTCCAGGCTCTAAGCCTGCTGGCTGTAGAACTCGTGAAATTCTGGTCCTCTTGCTTTCCATGCCAATTGCTATGGGGATTCATTTTCCCCATGTGCTCCCCTGTGTGCTAGTTTGTCTGTTGCCACTCACCATGACCACAGGTCCCTCTCCGCTGCAGTGGCCATGATCCATTTCTCTCCCAAGCCACATCTCTGCACTTCTTACCTTCTTTGATGTTACTTCTTCTCTCCCATTGGTTGTGTTTGTTCTGCCAGTCTTCAGATCAGTTTTGGGGTATTTGGGATGAATTATCTAATTATATTTGTGGGAGAAGGTGAACCTAGGACCCTCCTAGTCCACTGCCATCATCCTCACACCCCCTTGAATTTTCAGCTTTAGGTATGACATGGTTTTCTGTTGTGGAGGAAGGCACTTTCTCTTATTTCCCCCAAAACCCCATGAAAAGTTCTTCTTCCCAGGCTCAGAAGGCAGTAATACCCCAATATTTTGTTAAATCATTGTCAAACCTGTATCATTTTAACCAGGGCATGTTATTCATAGCCAGGTCTGCGTAGTGGGGCCAGATTTAATTTCCTCACTTGCACATGTTTGGTTTTGCTTTTGTTTTTCCTTTTTTAGAGTTAACAATTGTTTCTTATGTTTATTTGTTTCTTTCTCTGTGTACCTAATTTTTTCCCAAGCTCCACTCAAGAGGGTGAGCATAATCAGGTCATCTATTAGCTTCCTTTATTTGGTGGAAACGTCTCTCCAGGAGCTCCCTCTGTTTGTGGGCTGATGTTTGCTGTCTACTCCCTTGGTTGCGCAGGGCACAGGTGTCATCCAAGGAGCTCCTCACCACTGTCTTTGGATTTTTCTCCATCTCTCTCTTACAATGGGCCTCTTATTTTCCTGAATGTGGTGTAGTTTCCTTTCTGAGTTTATGCCTTTATTTGGGTGGGGTATACCTTCTGGTAGCTTTCTGAAAATGGGTGCACGGGAGATATATTTTGAGCAAAGCCTATCTAAAAATAGCATTATTCTGTCCTTATTCTTGGTTGATAATTTATCTGGGTATAATCTTCTGGATTGGAAGAGTTATCCCTTAGAATATTTTGTTGAAGACATAGAATGCTTCCAGAATTTCAAATGTTCCCTTGTGCTGTTTCTCAGTTAACCCCCCACCCACAAGGATTCTCTATTCCACCTTCTTTCCCTGTGGATTGGTTTTGCCTCTTCCATCTAATCCTTAGTTTGTGGCTCCCTTGTTCAACAGAATGTCTGTGATAAGCACACATGTGGCTTCAGATTCAGTAGTTTGTTCTTTTTTTTTTTCTGTGCTACAAGTTGCTACATTAAGCCTTGCTATGCGTATTGCCTCATTATCTTCCCTAATAATAAAGATTTAGATTATTTCCAGATTTTGGCTACTATTCATGATGCTGCTATAAAAATTTTTGTGGATTTTGTTTTTGGTGGACATATTTGCCAACCTTTTATCAGTGTGCCTCCACAAGTGGAATTTTTGGGTTGATAGGCACATGTACAGTTTAGCTTATATTCTGTCCAGTGGCTTTCTAAAGACATTTACATTCCCACTGGCCAATCTTATGACTTATAGTCACCCTATATCCTTTATAAGATGAGGTTTTGTCAGTCTTCTAAAATTTTACCCATTTTGGAAAGGGTGTAGTAATACCACATCATTGCATTAATTTGCATTCCCTGATTACTAAAGCTGCTCATTAAGCATTTGGATATCTTTTCTTCTGAGGTGCATGTTCAAGTCATTTGTTTGGTTTCTTAAAAGTAGGATTATTTGTATTTCTCATTGGCTTATAAAAATGTATTATATATCTCAAATGTGATTTAATTATTGTATATATACAGTGGTGTGTGTGTGTGATAAATGTTTAATAACTAGCTCTCTATAAAACAAAACAAAAAATCCCCAATTTGTTGCTTGTGCCAGTTCCCATGGTATAAATACACCACAGCTCTCATTGATGTTCTGAACACAGAACTGGGAAGAACTGGTACAATGTCTTCCCGCACTCCACTGGGTATGAGCATTACACACAGCTCTTCCAAGTCAGGGACGTGTTTTGCTCATCCTCTTGATGGTGTCCTTTTTAAAAAGTTGACTTTATTTAGGTATGATTCACATACCATAACATGTACATTTAACGTTTCTATTTGCTTAGTTTTGGAAAGATATACACCAGAGTGACCACTGTCACAAGCAAGATATAGAACTTCATCATCCTGAAAATTTCCTATGTGTTCTTAATCCCACCACATTGGACCCTGGCTCCAGGAAACTACAGAACTCCTTTCTGTGTAGGTTGGATTTGTGTTCTCCACAGTTTCACATATATGAAATTATATAGTATGAACTCTTAGGGACTGTCTTCTTCCCTGAGTGTATTGAGATATATAAATATGTATAAGGTTGCCTTCTTTTTGCGCTGAGTGATATTCCATTGTATGGATATAATGCAATCTGTTCATCTGCTCAGCTGTTGATGCATGTATAGCTGGTGTGAATATTCATGAACAATTCTTTGTGTGAACTTGGGTTGCCACTTCTCTTAGATAAACAACCAAGAGTGGAAAGTCTGGGCCACATGATTGGTGATGATTGAGAGACTGCCACACTGGTTCTAAAGCGACCATACCCGTTCACATTCCCTCCAGCAAACGTATATTTCTCAGTTCTTCCACATCCTCCCTGACACCCAGGGTAGTTAGACTTTCTACCTTGAGGTATCCTAGTGGATGTGTGGTTTTCATGGTGTCCTTTGGTGCATAGAAGTTCCTAATTTTTTAAAATTTTATTTTATTTATTTATTTGACAGAGATCACAAGCAGGCAGAGAGGCAGGCAGAAAGAGAGGAGGAAGCAGGCTCATTGCTGAGCAGAGAGCCCGATGCGGGGCTCGATCCCAGGACCCTGAGATCATGACCTGAGCCGAAGGCAGAGGCTTTAACCCACTGAGCCACCCAGGCACCCCAGAAGTTTCTAATTTTAATGAAGTCTGGTATAATGACTCTTTTTCTTTCTTTCTTTTTTTTTTAGATTTATTTATTTATTTGAGAGAGAGAGAGAATGAGTGAAAACACGTGAGTGGGGGGAGGGGTAGAGGGATAGAACCTTCAGGCAGACTTCCCACTGAGCAAGGAGCCCAACGCAGGGCTCAATCCCTGAAACCAAGAGTTGGACACTGAACCAAGTGAGGCACCCAGGTGCCCCTGATTCTTCCTTTTTATGTTTAGTGTTTTTGATGTCTTTGCCTACCACACATTGTGAAGATATTCTCTTGCCTATCCTTTTGGACCTCCACTCTTTTACCTTCTGCATTAAGTTCTAGTATTCTTGCCTTCCCTCCATTAATTTTGTGCATGATGTGAGGAAGAAGGCAAAGTTTGTTTCCCCATATAGACACCCAGTTGGCTACCTTCTTTTTGTGCTGTTGTCTGGTTGTCCATTCTCCTACTGCAGGGCGTTTCATGGTGTTTAACACTTAGACCCTCCAAACTCCACGGTGAGACAATCCGCATGTCTCATGTACACACACATGAGGTCTTCTCCAGGAGAGCTGCCCCGGGGTGTAGGGTGTGCACAGGGGCAGCTTTTCCGGATGTTACCGACTTGCTTGGAAACTCTCACCTGAGGCACAGAGCAGACCTTTTTTCTACCGTCCTGGCCATGCATGCCGTCATCAGACTCGAACACTTCTGCCAGGGTGTTGGGTGTGGGGTCCCCAGGATTTGGAGATTTGCTGGGGGACATCCCAGGACTTAGCACACAGAGAAAAATCAGCCCAGGGCAAAGGTGCGTGGGGAGAAGCCAGGGGCTATGGGCACACATTTCCGGAGCCCTGCCCAGTGGGGTCATACAGGACTTGCCCAACTCCCTAGCCAGGAGCAGTGACAACATGCATGAGGTATCGCCCCCTCCCCCACAGGGAGCTTGTCAGAAGTCAGCACCCAGAATTTTTATTGGGGCCACGTCATGTGGGCAGCCTCTTCCTGGCTTGTACCAGAATTCCAGACCCCAGGAAGAGTGGGTGTTCAGCACAAGCCATAGTATTTGTACAGTTTATGGCCAGTGAGGCCCTTTCACATGGGTGGAAACCCTCCCCAAATCCACATTCCCAGACACCACCCAAGGGCCCACGTTGTCATCAGGTCTAAGGACAGCTGTGCCAGGCCTGCGGTGCTGGTTCTTAACTACATGGGCCTGTGGAGTCCATCCTTCTGGAGTGCAGGGGCTGGGGACAGTCTGGGTTCAGGGAAGTCACCTGAGGGTGGCTCTTCCCCAGGCACTGCCACCAGCCTATTCAGCCTGTATGTCCTTGAAAGAGGGTCCACGCCCTGGACATACATGTCGCCAGAGGCACCTCCTAGACTCTGCTGAAGGGCCAGATCCTGGCGGCGGGGGCGACAAGCACGGACTACCCTTATGCCGGGGAGGGGGTGTCAGATGGAGGTCTTTCTTGGAAACCACAGACATGAATTCTGATGAAGATGATCAAAACAGGAATTTATTGGGGATCAACAGCTCACAGAATGAGGGGTGATGCAGAAGCCAGCTCAGGAATCAGTACAGGAGCCAGGGACATACGGGTCCAGTGGCAATGCTGAGACACAGCTCTGGAGAAGGTATTTGATCTCCTCTGCTTTCACAGCACATGGGGTTCAAAGGCTTGGGGGAGTCCAGCTGGCCATGCTGGGGTCACTGCCAACCCAGATGGAGGAGGCAGGGCATATTGACTTGGGAAAAGTTGCTACTTGAGGAAAGTCAGCGGGACAAATGCAGAGTGGGGAACAGGTGACCAGTGTCCACCATGGGGCCCGGCGAAGGGGGCTGGACAGCTGTCTTGGTGCTCAGTGAAGAATCCAGGCTGTGCACAGGAGCTCCTCAGGTTTGGAGTGGCCATAGAAGATCACTCAGCAGCAGGACTTCTGGGCCGAGGTGGGCATGCAGCAGGCCTGGCGGGAGCACGCGGGGCGGCAGAGCAGGGACACACAGGAGGACCGGCGGCAGCAGCTGGGCTGGCAAGAGGAGGCGGGGGCACAGCAGGAGGGGGCGGGCTTGCACACGGGACGGCAGAGCAGGGACACGCAGGAGGACGGTCTGCAGCAGGACGAGGAACAGGGGTTGGGCTGGCAGCAGGAGGAGGGCCCAGAGCAGACAGGGGTGCAGCAGACGGGCTTGCAGCAGACAGGGGTGCAGCAGACAGGCTTGCAGCAGACAGGGGTGCAGCAGACAGGCTGGCAGCAGTCTTCCTGGCAGGGGGAGGAGCTGCAGCAGGAGGGCTGGCAGTTAGACTGCTGGCAGCATGAAGAGACTGAGCAGGGGGAGGCCTCACAGCAGACAGGGGTGCAGCAGACAAGGGTGCAGCAGACGGGCTTGCAGCAGACAGACACACAGCAGTCTTTCTGGCAGGGGGAGGAGCTGCAGCAGGAAGGCTGGCAGGAGCTGGTGCAGGCTGACTGGCAGGGGCTGGACCCGCAGCTCGCAGGGGTGCAGATGAGGGTCAGGCAGGAGGGGGCACAGCAGCTGGAGTCACAGCAGGTGGGGGCACAGCAGGTGGGGGCACAGCAGGAGGGCTCACAGCAGCTCTCTGGGCAGTCGTCCACCTGCCAGGAGTCGGGGCAGGAGTCACAGGAGCCGGGCAGGCAGAAGCGGCTGTTGTAGCTCAGGTCGCTGGAGCAGACGGACAGGGTGGACGTGGCCATGGTGGGGGCGGTGGGGCTGGAGGAGGCTGTGAGTGTAGTGTGAGTGTGAATGTGTGAGTGTGTGTGAGGTACTGAGCTGTCGGCTTTTATACCCTCCTGGGTGTGTTTGTCCCAGCAGCAACCCTGCTCGCCTCCCTTCCTTGTTGCTGTTTGGAGCCCCAGGGACTCTCATTAGCGACAGCTGCGTGTTTGGTTCTACGAGGTATTTGCTTAGCTATAAAACTCCTAGTGTGTTTTGGGGTCTGTTGACTCATCCTAAGCTACCTGTGGTCTAGAACATGCATTGAGCTAGAAAAGTGAGTCTGTAAATAGCATGTCATGGGGCCAGGTTGGCTGCATAAGAATCCATCTATTCCAATCTTAACTTTTGTGGACACCTGGGTGGGTCTTGTGCACACTGGGGGCCCCTGCTTGTCAGCGTGGCACAGCTGCCAGTCAGAGAGAGTGTGGAGCCAGACATGTTCTGGTTGTGACTCCCTGGTCTTCTCTCTGGTGTGGGGAGTTCCCCTGAGGGCATGTGCAGGTGGCAAGCAGGAGAAGGTGAGGCAGTCAGGTGGCCACACTTTCCATGTCCTTGGATGGCCATGAGGGCCACTTCTGCCTGACCACTCACCGAGCCATGTTCATGGCCTTCTTACGCCCAAACCCTGCACAACTTGAGTACAAACTGGAGTGCCCTATTTCCCGCCTGCCGGAAGTACAGCTCCCACAAAGCCTTCATAGGAAAAGCAATGGTTTTTTGTGTCTCCTGTTGATTTTCTTGACTGTTAACTGAAAAATTCCTTGGGTCACCCCAGCCAGAAACTTGAAGGTCATCCAAACCCCTTCCTTTCTTCTGCAAAGAATATCTAAGTGGCCACCAAGTGGTTTTGGTTCCCTCTGCTAAATAAATTTCCATCCTCCCTGGTCCTTCTACCTTCCAAGGATGAATGTATTCACTTTGGAGCCAGCCCCCCACGTGCTGGAAACTGTTGAGCTGGAGAATGCATGGGTCATGACTCCATGGAGGGCTGTCAGCCAGGGGAGGTGGGTGCTTGGTGCCCCATGATGATAGTGAAGAGGGGGTTCAGCAGTACGGGGCCTGGGGGAGTGGCATCACACCCCAGCGGGAGGTCTCTGGGGGCCTGCAGGTAGCGTATGCTGCCCCTGCTGCATCTGTGGCCTCTGATTCTCACCCTTCCTGGCCATTCTGTTTCCGGAAGAGGTTCTCACCCCAGGCCTCTCACCTACGAGGAGGTCCATGCTGGGGAAGAAAGGGGTTCTAGGAATTCAACTAAACTGTGGCTGAGTTGTCTTTCTTTATGTTTTGAGTTATAAACCTGGTGTAGATCTGAGTGTGGTTCAGCTTCTGGCCCTTCTGGAGATACAGGAACTAATCTGTAAGCTAGAAGTGCTTGGCAGGGGTGGGGAGAGGGTGATATTTGCTGTCTATGATGTGGCAGCCTCTGTTAGATATATGTATGCCGGCTGAGGATGGCCCCAAAACCTGGATAAGATACAAAAACGTCTGTGCAGAGCTTTTGAAGGCTGCTGATGAGACTGAGTGTTGAGGGCCAACACGTGGAGAGGAGCGATGTCAGAGAGGCAGGCTAGCATCTCGGAACGGCTTTTCCTGAAGTGCAGCTGATGAATCCTGCTGTGGGGTGTGAAGGGATGTAGAGAGGCTGGCAGAGCTTTGGGAAACCTCAGGGAGGGTGGAGAGAACTCCACGGGAGTCTGCGACTGCAGAGGCAACATGGACCCAAGGGGTCAAGACCCCAGGGAGACGGCAGTTCCCAAGAGGAATTCCAGAGCTGCAGGCTGAATCTCAAGGCATTTGCCAAATTTTTATGCTATGCAGGAAAGGTGCTAAGAAAGCCAGCGGAAAGCCTTTAACACCCAAGCAGAGATTCAGCAGCCTCATTGCCAGGGAGACTCATAACCCTGATGACTGGCCAAGGAGGAGCCACTCTCAGGTGAGACCCCAGGACAGCTTGGCCCCAGGAGGGGAGAACCCTCACATCGGTTTGAGTCCTCTGCCCCACCCAGGCCACCAGCCAGAGTGAAATTCCTCGGAAGGAGAGAAACTCATCCAGAGCTGCGAGACTTTTTCACAATGTCAAACATTCAATCAAGAATTATAGTCATGTCAAGAGACAAACAGATGATAGAAACAAGCCTGAGGTGACAGTGTTGGAGTTAATCAGACACAGACTTTCGAGAGAATTGTGTTGGAAGTGCTCAGGGAAATAGGTGTAAGGAGGGAGACCTTTATTGTAAAACTGAAACATAGACGAAGAAAAAAGTAGAAATTTTTGACTGAAGAGAACACAGGACTGATATTTATGAACCGATCTGTGGCTGTCATAACAGCATGGGGGGCGGATAGTGGGAATGGAACAATGGGATGGCATCCTTAAGGGGCCAAATGAAATGACTGCCGAACTGGAATAGAGCTCCCCAAGAATGCCGATCAGAGGTGAAGGTGCCACAAAACATCACTAGACCAGCAAACGCGGAGTGAAGTCCTCACCAGAAGATGCACTTTGAAGTCGCTGCCACAGGAAGCTTTCGGGTAGGATGGCTGGAGGGCAGAAGTGCAGGACAATGGAGGAGAACCTGAAAGGATAGATAACAGTACAAGTAGAGTGGAAACTGGCCCACATGTCCCTTCGCAATGTTGTACTATATATCATATTTACACTTTCCTGTGGGCTCTACAGTCTAGTAGAGACGAACGGTGCAACACAAGCAGGGGGAGGAGCTGAGGTGTGCTGGGGTCTCAGGGTTGCTCCGGAAGTGGCCCGTGCTCCAGATGGGCCCGTGCCCATCAGACTTGACCATCTTAGGAAGGCACTCTGTAGCCTCTGGGCTGACCTCTGAGACAGTTACGAAACCACAGACAACGACTAATGAATGGGACAAGGCAGATAAATAATAAAAATACCCCAAAGCGGTCAGGAGATTGTAAAAGGAACATAAGATGTTTTAGACAAACAGAAAACATACAGCCAGATCGCAGATATAAACCCAACTATCAATACTGAAATTAAATGTCAAGTATCAAATAAAATATTTCAATTCACAAATAAATAAAATAAAGAGTCTGACAAAAATGGAAAACCTGCATACTAACTCTAAGAACTAGATCCTAAATATAAGGGCACAGGAAGTTTGGAAGCACAAAGATGGGAAACATATAGACAAATACAGAGGACAATGTGAGATTCAGTGAAGCCCTAACCAAGAAAGAGAAATCTTTATGTATTCACGGGAAAGGAGCTCCATTGTTACATTAAGTTACAAAAAAACAGAGTGGGTAGATTATGATACAATGTATTTTAAAAATGTACATTATACACATATGAGTACGTGTACAGAGAAAGATGACAAAGTCAATCTTCATTATTCATGGATTCTTTATCTGTGATTCACCTACTCACTAAAATTCCTTTGTAATCCCAAATCAATACTCACAATGTGTGCCTGGGCATTCGCAGACATGTGCAGACTGCTCCAAATTTAAGAAGCGGACACGTGTTCCCAGCTGAGGGGGAATGAGGCTCTGCCTCCCATGTTGGCCCCCAGACTGTAAGCCTGTCCTCGCACTTCATGTCACTTTTGTGCTTTATGCTGTGATTTTGCTGGTGAAAGTGGCGCCAGGCGTAGCACTGGAGGTCTAGAGTTCTGAGCACAAGAGGGCTCACGTGCCTTATGGAGAAAATCCGCATCTGACAAGCCTTGTTCAGGTGTGACTGAAGGTGCTCTTGGCAGGGAGTCCACTGTTAAATAAAATGTATCTCAAGTATTTATTAAATAAGTCGCTTTAAACAGAAACACACATCTAACCCATCATGTACTGAGGGTTGCTGAAAATCTGACCAGAGCTTGCAGGGACCCAACCCCGTAATCCCGTGTTCCCAGATTTGCTAATTCAGTGTTTTTGGTGACTTTCTAGAACCTAGTGACTGTGTAACGAGAATGCACTGTGTGTGTGCAGAGAGAGAATAAGGGGCAATGAGACCGAGAGACAGGCACAGGGATAAAGGGGGGGATGGAGCTGTTTCCTGAGAGGAGGCTGGGGTGCTGGTACTCAGGGCTGAGGGACACTCGCCCTATACCCGCCATCCCCTGCTCTGATAACCAGGGCTGGGACTCCTGCTCCCCAGGACACAATGAGACACTCTGGAGTCAGCTGCTCCAGGAGTTTTATGAGCCAGACAATATCCCGGCAAACAAACACCAACGTGGCCTGGGAGCCGGAACTAGAGCCTGCTGGGGGCCTGGGAGACAACAGCCAGGAAGGTATAAAAGCTGCCAGCCTCAAGCACCACACACACACACTCACACACTCACACTCACACTCACAGCCTCCTCCAGCACCACCGTCCCCACCATGGCCACGTCCACCCTGTCCGTCTGCTCCAGCGACCGGAGCTACGGCGGCCGCGTCTGCCTGCCCGGCTCCTGTGACTCCTGCCCCGACTCCTGGCAGGTGGACGACTGCCCAGAGAGCTGCTGCGAGCCCCCCTGCTGTGCCCCCACCTGCTGTGCCCCCACCTGCTGTGTCCCCACCTGCTGTGTCCCCACCTGCTGTGATTCCAGCTGCTGTGCCCCCACCTGCTGTGATTCCAGCTGCTGTGCCCCCACCTGCTGTGTCCCCACTTGCTGTGACTCCAGCTGCTGTGCCCCCTCCTGCCTGACCCTCATCTGCACCCCTGCGAGCTGTGGGTCCAGCCCCTGCCAGTCAGCCTGCACCAGCTCCTGCCAGCCCTCCTGCTGCAGCTCCTCCCCCTGCCAGAAAGACTGCTGTGTGTCTGTCTGCTGCAAGCCCGTCTGCTGCACCCCTGTCTGCTGCAAGCCCGTCTGCTGCACCCCTGTCTGCTGCACCCCTGTCTGCTCTGGGCCCTCCCCCTGCTCCGCCTCCTCCTGCTGCCAGCCCAGCCCCTGCTCCTCGTCCTGCTGCAGACCATCCTCCTGCGTGTCCCTGCTCTGCCGCCCCGTGTGCAGGCCCGCCTGCTGCGTGCCCGCCTCCTCCTGCTGTGCCTCTGGCTCCTCCTGCCAGCCCAGCTGCTGCCGCCGGTCCTCCTGCGTGTCCCTGCTCTGCCGCCCTGTGGGCTCCCGCCAGGCCTGCTGCGTGCCCACCTCGGCCCAGAAGTCCTGCTGCTGACGGGGTCCGTCTTCCCCGGGGCCAGCTGGGCTCAGGACCCACCCAGTGACAGTGGTCCTCCCAGCCCCCTCAGTCCGGTCCTGACCTGTCAGGTGGCTGCCCACACCCAGGACAGGGTCTTCCATGCGTCCACACTGCTGACATGACCTTGACCTTATAGTTCCCAAGAACGCTGACCCCGCTGGTCCCCAGGGCTCCTGCTCCCGGGAGGGGTCTCCACCACTTCTGGGTCCCCCGTCCTTCCCTCCCAGTTTCTCGGCTCGGGTCCCGTGGCCTCAACTGCTGACCTCTCAGCGCCTGCTCAGACACCCCAATAAACTCACTCACCAGCGCATCTGCTTCCTTTCATCCGACCTTCATGAGGGTGGGGGTCCAGGGGTCTGAGCAGACATTGGTCTCCTCCACCCGGGAACATTTGTAGGAATGGGGGACTGAGAAATCCTGCAGGGCAGGGCCCCGGGGTGGGAACGCCCCGGCCCAGGAAGGTCAGGGCTGCTGGACCGTGCATGCCCAGGGCTTCCCGAGGCTGGCCGCCTGCACACGGGTCGTGGTCTGGGGGTTCTCAGCCCCTGGCCCGTTTCCACCCACTGCCCCAGCTGGGCAAACCGGCCCCAGACGAGCTGGCTTGGGGGCTGCAGTAGCACAGCCCCTATGGGCCCAGGGTCCCCCTGGGGTCCTCCCAAGGCAGTACCCATTTAGCAGAAAGGTGGTGGCGTAGGGGAGGCACTGCTCCAAGGTCCCAAAGAAAACAACTAGGTTTGAAACAAAATATTACGGGTCAGTGACAGGACCCCCAGGATCCCGTCCTGGGCGGGAATCTGAAGGCCATCATCTGATTGGTCTGGACTCCGCGTGGGAGCCTGAGGGACACGGAGACCTGGTGCGGGGCCTTTCCTGTTAACTGAGAAACCATCAGGCCTTGAATTGCTGTGAAGAGCGGGCTGCTCAGATGCCAGGATGACAGAGATGTCGCCTGAGAACACTGGTGGACAAGGGCAGGAACATACAGCAAGATCACCCCCCCTCAGGGTTTCAGAACTGTTGCAAGCAGTGGCCCAGTGGCCCCCACAAACCCTCCCCTCCCTGCCCATGAGCCCCACTCTCCCCATGGCTATGTCCACAGCCAGAACCCAGAAAAGGAACCCATGCTCTCCCCTGGCTCTCCGTCTCCTTCCCTGCAACCCCAGCCTCCTCCTGCCCACGCCACACTCCCCACCTGCTACAAGCTCCTTGCCTAAACCCTGCCCCAACCCTAGCAGTGTTTTAACTAACTCCTTAGTTTAAAATCAGCTTTCTGGGTCCAATGTACAGAGAGTCAGGCGCGCCTTGTCTCACTACGCCGTTTGATGAGTTTTGAGAAGGGTCTGCATCTTGCTACCTCCGCTGGGGTCAGGAGCTATCAGCTTCCCCTCCCGCCAGAGGTTTCCCTGCGTCCCCAGCCTCCGTGCCTGCCCGCCGCCTGGCAGCAGGGGCCCCACGGGGCTGCCGAGGCTGACCTTTTCTGGAGCGTCCCAGGGAAGGAAGCAACAGGCAGGCTCCGTGACCGGCTTCGTGCACTTGCCTCTTCTGCCGCGCATGCTCGTAGTGAATCCCTTCTTAACTGCCGAGTGGTGTTTTATCGCACGGGGGATCACAGCCGTGCACTCACCTGTTGAAGTCCATCTGGGGTGTCTCCAGGTTTAGTGGTTATGAAGGAAGCTGTGGGAGCACCCGTACTCCACGCGCTGCCCTTGCTCTTGCGCGAACACCGGGGGTGGGCTTGCTGGGTCACGAGCAAGCGCAGTGTGCGTGCTGACACTGGCCTTCCCGCGGCTGCTGTGCGGGGTCCCCGAGTGTCTGCTCGGGTCCTCTGCCCCCCGCCCCGCAGTCGAATCGCCTGTCTTCCTGTTCACCGTCAGCGTCCTCCACGCATTCCGGGCGGTCACTTACCGTCCGTGTACACAGCAAATTTCCCCACCTGTGCCCAGACTTCTCAGCTTCCCGGTAGCATTTTTTCAGTAGCTGGAATCTCTAATTTTGATTAAATTCGATGCATTCCCTTTCTTCAGTGGTGCTGAGAACTCTGCCTAAACCCAGGGTCACGCTGCTTTTGTCCTGTGCGTACCTCTAAATATTCTATGGCTTTAACTTTTGTGTTAAGTTCTAGGATCCCTTCTAGTTAATTTTTGAATCTGCTGTTGGTTGTTCCAGAATCACTAAGTAAGAAGATTATCCTTTTTCCACTGAATGACCCTCGCCCAAAAATCTGTGGACTGTACGTGTGTGGGTCTACTTCGGGACCCTGCGGTGTCCTGTCTTCAGCCTTTGTTCTTGTACCAATAATACACGGTCTCCACCAACACAGCTTTACGTGAAGTCTTGAAATCAAGCAGCTAGTCATCCGACTGCATTTTTCTGTTTCTGTTTCTCTTTTAAAGATTTTATTTATTTATTTTACACAGAGAGAGAGAGAGATAGGGGACACAAGCAGGGGGAGTGGGAGAGGGAGAAGCAGACTCCCTGCTGAGCAGGGAGCCCGATGTAGGACTCGGTCCCAGGACCCTGGGATCATGACCTGAGCCAAAGGCAGAGGCTTTAACCCACTGAGCCACCCAGGTGACCCCACTTTTCTTCTTCAAAATTCGTTGGCTATTCTAGATCCTTTACATTTCTGTATCGATTTTAGAATCAGCTCATCATTTTCTAAAGAAGAACTTGCTGGGATTTTTATTGGAATTGCATTAAACTTGCAGTTAAATTTGGGAAGAATTAACATCTTAACAATATTGAGTCTTTCAATTCATAATTATAAATCTATTTCTAATCATTTTGGATGACTTTTTTTCAATACTTTATCATTTTTAATACATAGACCTTGTACATATATTAAGCTTCTCTATTATTTTATTTTTCAATGTTTAAGTTAATGGTGTGTTTATTTCATTTCCAAGTGTTTATTGCTACTATGTAGAAATTTAATCAGTTTTTGTGTGTTGACCTTGTATCCTGTGACCTTGCTAACTGCACTTAGGAATTAAAAAAAAAAAATATTTATTTATTTATTTATTTATATTTCTTTTCCGTGCTCAAGAATTCATTGTTGATGCACCACACCCAGTGCTCCATGCAACACGTGCCCTCCTTAATACCCACCACCAGGCTCACCCAGCCCCCCACCCCCCACCCCTCCAAGACCCTCAGTTTGTTTCTCAGAGTCCACAGTCTTTCATGGTTCACCTCCCCCTCCAGTTTCTCCCCAGCTCCCTTCTCTCCATCTCCCCATGTCCTCCATGTTATTCCTTATGCTCCACAAATAAGTGAAACCATATGACAATTGACACTCTCTGCTTGACTTATTTCACTCAGCACAATCTCCTCCAGACCCGTCCATGTTGATACAAAAGTTGGGCATTTAGCATTTTTACATATTAGGATTGGGCATGGGATTCTCTCTGTGGGAAGGATCTTAACTATATTTCTGTTACTTCAATGGATAGAGGGCTATTTTGGTTTTCTATTTCTTCTTGTATGAGTTTTTATATGAATATATCTTTCCAGTTACTTGTCCGTTTCACCTAAGTTGCTGACTGCGTCAGCATCAAGAGTTGCGTTCTTCTTTTATTGTTCTTTTAATGCCTGTAGTACCTGGGGCAATATTTCATTATTCCTGATGTTGTCTATTTATTTCCTTTTCGTTTCTTTTTCTTGACTAGTTAATGTAGAAATTTATTAATTTTGGTGATCTTCTAAAAAATTAGACTTGGTTTTATTAATTTTCTCATTTGTCTGTTTTCTGTTTGGTAGATTTCTACACTTCTCGATTATTTCCTTCCCTCTACCTATTTTGGATTCAACATGTGCTTCTTTTTGTAGCTTCTGAAGGTAGAACCTCAGATAATTGATGGATTCCTTCTTTATTATTATGAATTATTAAAGCTATAGATTTTCCCCTATATACTGTGTTAGTTGCATTCTATAAAGTTTATTTTTATTTTATTAATATTTCCAATTTTCCATTGTGATTCCTTCTTTGACTCATGGATTATTTTGAAGAGTGTTATTTAATATCCAAATAGTTTTTGATTTTCCAGATATCTTTCTGTTCATGATTTCTGATTTTGTTGTGGTCAAACAACATTCTCAGTATGATTTCAATCCTACTAAATATATTAAGGCTGGTTTTATGATCCAGGATATGATTTATTTTGGTGAATGTTCCGTGTACACTTAAAAAAATGTGAACTCGACTTCACTGTTGTTGGATGGAATATTGCATACATATCAGTAAGCTCAGGTTAGTGTGCAGTGTTTCTCAAGTTTTCTATGTACTTCTCAGTTTCATCCAATTTGGAAAACATTTGGCCATTATCTCTTTAAATATTTTTCTGTCTCTCCCACCCCTCATTTTTTCTCCTCAGGGACCCCAATTATATTTATGTTAGACCATTTAATATTGTTCCTCAGATCCCTGACACTCTGTTAATTTAATTTTTTTTTCTTACTGTCTTTCAGTTTGGGTAATTTCTGTGATTATGTCTCCTAGGTCACTGATCATTTGCAGTCTTTGTTCTACTTTTAAATTCATCCTTTAATTTTTTAAAATTATTTTTATTAACATATAATGTATTATTTGCCCCAGGGGTACAGGTCTATGAATCGCCAGGTTTACACACTTCACAGCACTCGCTATAGCACATACCCTCCCCAATGTCCATAACCAAACCACCCTATCCCTAAACCCCTTTCCCCTTGGCAACCCTCAAGTTTTTTTGTGAGATTAAAAGTCTCTTATGGTTTGTCTCCCTCTCAATCCCACATCCTTTAATTTTTTTATTGTTAAGTTTCTTGACTCTTGGAGTTCCATTTAGTTCTCTTTTGTATCTTACATTTCTCCTTCTTTGTGTTCATGTTTTCCTTGAAATCCATGAATACATTTACCGTCATTGTTTTAACTACCTTGTCTGCTAATTCCAGCAATTGTCGTTTCTGAGTTTGTTTGTATAATCTGTTTTGCCTCTGGATTATGAGTTAGATTTTTCCTCTTAATGTGTCTAGTAATTTTGGGGCACCTGGGTGGCTCAGTCAGTTGGGCGTCCCAACTCTTGCTTTTGGCTCAGGTCATGATGTCATGGTCGTGGGACGGAGCCCTGTGTTGGGCTCCACATTTAGTGCAGAGTCTGCTTGAGATTCTCTCTCCCTGATTTTGATTTTGATTTCCCTCTGCCCTGCCCCCACTTGTATACATGCATGTGCGCATGGGTGTTCTCAAATAAATAAATAAAATATTTTTTAATCATGTTATGTTGGTCACCATACAGTAGTGCATCATTAGTTTTTGATGTAGTGTTCCAAGATTCATTGTTTGCATATAACATCCAGTGCTCCGTGCAATCTATGACCTCCTTAATACCCAATACTGTGCTAACTCATCCCCCACCTCCTCCCCTCTAAAACCCTCAGTTTGTTACTCAGAGTCCACAGTCTCTCATGGTTCGTCTCCCCCTCCGATTTCCCCCAACTCCCTTTTCCTCTCCATCTCCCCATGTCCTCCACGATATTCCTTATGTTCCACAAATAAGTAAAACCATATGATAATTGACTTTCTCTGCTTGACTTATTTCACTTAGCATAATCTCCTCCAGTCCCAAAATTAATAAAATCTTTAAAAAATGTGTCCACCAATTTTTTATTGGATGCTGGGTTTCAATAAAATAATAGCGTAATACTGGTGAATGTTGTATGTTCTTTCCTTCCTTTAAGGAGTGACGGGCCTTGCTCTGTCTGGCACCTACCACTTGTGGATTGGCTTGATAATTGTGATGCTTCTGTGCTTGTTTTTATGTTTTGTATGGCAGATTGAGAGAAGGCTTTATTCTCAGGCAGGTTTAGGACGACCATTAATATGTGACTTCTGGGATCTGTACGTGTAACAGATTACACCCCTCAGCATGTGCTCCTGACACCATGCCAGGGATATCAGTGGGGCATGTGAGAAGATTTTAGGCAATACAGAGATGAAAATTGCCAATTTTGAAGTTAGGAGGGCATTTAGACATGCTCTGGGAAAACATGGATCTAGCAGATCCTAATCCCGATTGAACGGGCATTGTGAGGAGTGACAGTGGCAAGTCAAGGAAAAGTACAGGAGGGTGAAGGAGGAGCCCAGGATGGCCCCAAGGGCCAAAGGGCTGCAATACCCATCCCCATCCTCTGCCGCCCAGCTGGGACCCCAGGGAGTCACAGGAAGCCACACAGGGTCCTGCAGGATGGCAGTGTTATGTACAGAGGGCGGAAGTGGACATGTGGTTGGGCTGGGGAATAATGATACATGGAGCCAGGGCTCTGGCTGGTCTTGGGTGTTTATTGGTCAGTTTCCTTAAGTGTATCCAGAGACAGCTGATGGGTCACTGAGCTGAGGACACAGAGACAGGTGGATAGATGCTGGGCTGACACTCATGCAGGGTGAGAGATATGGGGGGGAGGCCACTGCCATGGGGACTTTCTAGGAGACCTTTCTAGGGCCAGAGCACTGAGTGTGGATGTTTGGTTTGTCTATGTCTGCAGCTCAACAGCAGGCTGGACCAGAACACACAAGGAATGGTCCATGTGCTGGAGCAATTCAGGACATGGTGATCAGCTTCCAGGTTGGACCTGCCCCTGTCCTCAGTGGGGCAGCCCCTTAAGATGGGTCAAGAACAGATTGAGGAGGGGTGGCTGGGAGGACCACAGTCACTGGGTAGGACCTGAGCTCAGCTGGCTCCATGGGGGATGTATCTCATCTGCAGCAGGACTTTTGGGCTAAGGTGGGCCTGGGGCAGGCTGGGCACATGTGGCAGTAGAGTAGGGATGCGCAGGAGGAGGGTCTGCAGCAGGACAGGGAACAGAGGCTGGACTGGTGGCAGGAGGGGGCTGAGCAGGGAGAAGGGCTTGCAGCAGACAGGGGTGCAGCAGACAGACACATAGCAGTCTTCCTGGCAGGGGGAGGAGCTGCAGCAGGAGGGCTGGCAGGAGCTGGTGCAGGCCGATTGGCAGGGGCTGGATCCGCAGCTGGCAGGGGTGTGATGAGGGTCAGTCAGGAAGCTAGGTGCAGCAGGTGGGGGCACAGCAGGTGGGGGGGCTCATAGCAGGTGGGGGCACTCCTCACAATGCCCGTTCAATCGGGATTAGGATCTGCTAGATCCATGTTTTCCCAGAGGGGGAATGAGCAAGGGGGTTGGTAGCAGGTGGGGGATGAGCAGGGGGGTTGGTAGCAGGTGGGGGCACAGCAGAGGGGGCACAGAAGGGGGTCTCGCAGCAGCTCTCTGGGCAGTCGTCCACCTGTCGCCAGGAGTCGGGGCAGGAGTCACAGGAGCCGGGCAGGCAAACACGGCTGCCGTAGCTCCGGTCGCTAGAGCAGAGGGACAGGGTAGGCGTGGCCATGGTAGGGGCAGTGGGGCTGGAGGAGGCTGTGAGTGTGAGTGTGAGTGTGAATGTGTGAGCGAGTGTGTGAAAGTGAGTGTGTGCCTGGTGCCCTGACTTTCTCTTCATACCCTTCTGGCTTGTGCTATCCGGCATTAGTCTCCCCAGGAGCTCCCCTCCTTGGTGCCGAGAGCCAGGTCCTGCAGAACCAGCCACAGCTGTTTCACTTCCTGGAGTCCCCGCTTAGCTCACAACACTCCGGAAACTGATCTGGGATCTCTAACTGCTTTTAGTCCTAGAAGGCAAGCTTGGAGGGTGGCATGCAGGTTTCTTGCTGTTTTAGTGGGGTCGTTGGGGGCCCAGGTGGCATACCCCGGTGTTGGGGGCTGGGTCCCAGGCCCAGGTCCTGGCGAGCACTGTGGTGGACTGCTCTGCTGGCCGAGGACCATCAAATGCCTCAGTGCTTGGAGGCTTACTTGGTTTCTGTGTAACGGTGATGAGTCATGATTCATATGCTGCGCTGCATCAGTGTCCTGTGGCTAACCGCAGACGGGGCTTCAACAGCAGAGATCCATCATTTGGAGGCTGGATGTCTGAGATCAAGGATTGGCAGGGTTGTTTTGTCCTGGGGCCAAGATGGAGAATCTGTTCCATGTTCTCTTAGCTTTGGGAGTTTTCTGGCTATCTTGGGGTTCTTTGGTTTGTACAAGCATCTCCCCATCTCTGCCTTCATCCATCCTGCCTGTGTGCCTGTCTGTGTTCATGTTTTCTCATCTTACAAGGATGCCAGTCATACTGTGTTGGGACACCTCTCCCCCAATGACCTCATTGTATCTTGATCATCTGTGATGACCATCTTTTAGATAAGGTCACTTCTGCAGGTACCGGGGTTGGAACACAATTTGACTCTTAGCAAGCACCTACTCTGAAGCAGACTCAAGGCCAGGATCTGGGATGGAAGAAAAGGTGGAGCAGGCCTCCTTTCTTGGGGACTGCAGTCCACAGCTGGTGAAAATGGGGCACAGGTGGCGCATGGCATGACAGACCAGCCACACCTGCACATCTTCTGCTTGTCCTGGCATGGCTGAGCTCATGGGACACTTTGTGCCTTCGTGTCATTTACAGAATAATTGTAAAAAGAGTCCAGTGGCTACACACGCCCTCACCCGGCTTCCTCTAGGAACATCTTATGTATCCATAGATCAGTGACAAATCTCAGAAATCAACATTGGCACATTACTGTTCACCAAAGGACAGACCCATTGCCCATAAATGTCCCCTCTCTGGTCCAGGTCCCCATGTGCATTGTAAGGTTTCCTTACTCTTCTCTAGTCTGAGACAGTTTCTTGGTTTTTCCTTATCCTTTGTGTCTTGACACTCTGGAAGAGCCTTGGTCATGTGCGTTGTAGAAATTTGGGGTTGTCCGAGGTTTCCTCACAATTAGAGTGAGGTTATTGTGTCTGGGGACAAATCCCACAGAAGTAACTTGCCCAGTGAAGCAGGGGCACATGTTTTTGCTGTGTCTAGTCACTGGGGATATGGTTATTTGTCCCCTTTGTAATTAATAAATATTTGCAGTGGGGGGAGATTCTACAAGACTTTGCAAGTATCCTGTTTCTGCTGTCATGTTTGTCTAATGGTTTTAGCGTCCCTCTGGGGGCCATGCCCGCAGCAAGTTCACTGTGATGTTCTTTTTTTATTTTTTATTTTTTATCTTTAGTATGCTACCTTAGACACCGTACTCACTGTGGTGCTTTGATGGTGAGTTTCTAGTTCCCTACTCCACCTCCACTCATTAACTGAAATTCGTCTACAAGGAGGAGATGGCCATTTTCCTCCATGTATTTACCTGTTCTGGTTTATTTTATTTCATTACCAACTAGAGAATATTTGTTTTATTATTTGAGTAATAATCCAGTATCATCATTATTTTCTTATTCACTTTGTTCTGACTTTGAGCCTTGGGACCTCCTTCCTGTACTGTCAGCATGCTTGCAACTCCCCAACATCTCACATTTGTTTCCAGCTCCCCTGGAAATCTCCCCGTCCCATTCCTGGGATCAACCACTTCTCCAGGGAGCCCTGCTCCTTTTAGTGGATGATGGTATTTAGAAACCACGATCTGGAGCTAGGTGTGCTCAGGCTGCTGGGGAGTCACTTCTTTAGTGGGCAGAGCAAGGAAATGCTTGTGCGTGTGCTAACACGTGCCTGAACTCAGGGGGACACCTTCAGTCTTTGGGCTTGCTGGATGGTGGTAGCTGAGGTTTTGTCTAGATCAGCTTTCTCAGGATAAAAAGCTGCCTCTTGTTACTGAGAGATTATATCATAAGTGGATGTTGGATTTCATGGAATGCTTTTATGCATTTATTGAGATGATCATACAATTTTCTTTTTTAGTCTGTTAATATGGTGAATTACATTAATTGATTTCTTAAAGCCTTTTATTTTGAAATAATTAGAGATGTACAGGAAATCACAAAGCCAGTACAGAGAGGTGCCATGTACTTACATTAATTGATTTTTTAAATATTCACCCAGGGGCGCCTGGGTGGCTCAGTCATTAAGCGTCTACCTTCAGCTCAGATCATGATCCCAGGGTCCTGGGATTGAGCCCCACATCAGGCTCCCTGCTTGGCAGGAAGCCTGCATCTCCTTCTGCCTGCTGCTCCCCCTGCTTTTGTTTCTGCTCTTGCTGTTATTCTCTGTCAAAAAAAATAAATAAATAAATAAAAATGTTCAACCAGTCCTGAAGTCCCAGATAAACCCCACTTGGTTGTGATGTATTTCCCTTTTTACATGTTGTTGGATTTGGTTTGTAATGTTATTCAGAACCTATATGTCTATTTTTATGAGGCTATCGATCTGTAGTCTTTTATTGCAATGTCTTCAGTTTTGACAAAAGTTGCCAATATCTCCTTCTCTTCTATTTTCTAGAAAAGATTGTGTAGAGTCAGTATTTGGTCTTCTTTAAATATTTGGGAGAATCTCCTGAGAAACTGGGGTTTTCCTTAATAGGTGTAGGACTTTCTGGCCATCTGTTTCTTCTTTAATATAGTGCCTACTGAGGAGTTGGTCCATTTCACACAAGGTTTTGAATATAAGGCATAATGTTGCTTGTGGAAGTCCCTCATTATTCTTTAATCTGTGAAAAATATTTGGTAATACCCCATCTTTTGTTCTTGATATTGGTAAATTATTTCTTGTTTCCCCCCGCCCCTGGTCAATCTGGCTGGAATTTTATGAATTTTATTCATCTCAAGGAATCAACATTGGTTTCAATTGATCTCCTCTGTTTTTCTTGTTTTCTTGTTACACTGAGTTATATTACATACAATTACACTGACTTATCCTTCCATTTTCAAGTTTATTAAGTTAAAGCTTAGACGGTGGATCTGATACCCATCTTCTCTTCTAATGGAAGCACTTACTACTATAAACTTCCTTCTCCTTTAGCTGCCCCCACCAGCCTGATCTATTGACCCTTGCTGGCTCCGATTCCATAATTCCTGGATTCAGTGCATATATCTGAAGGGCAACAGAGTTGATGAGGACTCTCACACAATGGGATTGGCAGGCAGGCAAACATCTAGGTGCTGAGCATTTGGACTTCCACAACCTGCAGCCCGAGGCCACTACAGCCAGATTCATCCTCTGTTCCTGTTCTCACTCGCCAGGGGGACGTGAGATAAGGGAACATGGAAAGCTGGCTGGATTGCAGAGATAATCATGCCTGGCAGGAGAGAGTCATGTTTTTATTACAAAGATTCCCCCGGGGGTAGGGACTAGTGCTTCATCTTCTCCTCTCCCCACTCTCAGCTCCTGGCAGAGGAGACTAAGAGGTGGCATTTTGGATCATTAGAGACAAGCTCTGTGGGCGGGACCCCGAGGGCAGCTGAGCATCCTGTCCTGGGAAGAGCTCAGATTAAGCCCCCTTGTCCCCATGCCAGCCCCGTGGTCTGCAGATTTATGCACTGTCTTTTGCCTCCTGAATGTCCATGTGCCCAGTGAGGCCAGGCGCTTCTTATACATAGTGGACAACACGCAAGAAAGGTGAGAAAGGAAGGTTCTGGTTTTGGGCTGGCAAGTGTAAGTCCAGTGAGTCGACTTATCCCCAGACTATGTGTGGGTTTTTCTGTGCCAGCTGATTAAGGCACACCGCCAGATGCCCTTTTGCTGATTTATGTAAGGTAAACTTAACATCAGCTGTGTACTGGCCACATGGATCCTATTCAAGGGTCCTGCTTAGCCAGCCCTGGCAGCCTGCATTCCTGCAGGAAAACACATATCCTCCCACAAGCTCATGTGGGAAGTTAATAGTTGACCTAAAATGTGGCCTGGCACAGAGCTGACTGCATCATGAGGCCGGGCCGTCCATTTCCAAGTCAGTTACTGTGAGGCTGTCCATTTCTGGGGAGCAACTTCTGCCTGCCAGACAGTATTTTCAGTCCCTCCTGGAGCCCTACAAGAAAGGAAGATACCATCCCCTATTGCTGACGAGGAGACTGAGCCTCAAAAATGCCCATGACAGAAGTGCAGGACATGGCACATCCCAGGGGAGCTGGGCGTCAAGGCCACGGTCCTTGCTATACTGTCTGCTTGACCCTTTGGGGAGTGTTGTGCACCCTGCGAACACTTTGACTTTGACAGATGACTGAAGTGGACAAGTATGAATTTAAAAGCATTGATGTGTGTAGAGGGCACAGCACAGGCTGGCCACAGAGCTCTACTCAAAGACTCTACTACGTCTTTGCGAGGTGATTCTTGGTGTCACTGCCATTTTGGGGCCTCCCTGAGGCTTCAGTGGCTTGATCGCCCAATATTTTTGCCTCTCAAGCTTTAGATGTATCCATGCTGCAGCCCCAGAGCGTCCAGGAGTCCTGCTCAAAGCCCAGTGTGCCAATCTGTTCACATTCCATGACTTCCTTTAAAACAAGTTAAGAAAAGAAAAGAAAAAAAAAAACCAAGTTAAGAAAAGCAGGAAAGAACACACAAAAGGGACGAGTTATTTTCCCATGTATGCT